TCAAGATATAGTCTACTGCCATGTATAACTAAAAAGAGCAAATAAACAAAAAAGAATAAAAAGCAAAGAAAATCGGGCCCCTCTGCTGTCTGCTGATGTAGATATTGCTTGCTGCGGTGACCTTACCCTTTTGCTCACCTGCAGTCCATTCTGACTACTATGAGTAGTCAGATTAGAGGCAAAAAGATATTAGTTATCTTCACAGGGACAGCTTAGCAATTAATTGTTTCTATTTTGCACTTTATTCAGTAATTTTTATTGTCCACATGATATTTCAAGTGAACTTCTGGTGCTTTATAATTTCAACACTTATCAGTTAACTCATGTTAAATATAGTAGTTATTATATAAGTTAGAAGGCAAGAAATATTGTAAATATTTGCTCTGATCTTAGCCAGGAGAATACTATTAGATCCTTTTTGACAAATATGTAATTATGTCATAAACAAAGTAGTTTTAATTCATTGATGGTACTAAAAAAAACTGGCTTTCACAATCTTAAAAAAATGTTAGGGCTTTAATAATCTATTTGTGTGTGTGTGTGTGTACGCGCGCATGCGTGCGCGCGCTATATTACAAAGCAAAAACCTATAAATTTTCTGCAGTGTAGTAGAAAGGGAGTTAATCGATCAGAGTCACTAAAGGTTTTGAAAAGCAAAAAGGCACCATCTAAAAACTCTATCAACACCAACACCAAATATCCAACCCAGAGATTGATTTACTATTTCTGCATCAAATATAAAAACTCCAGGTCTTCATTCACTATTTATGTAACAAATATTTCTTAAGCACTTAATATTAATATTTGCTTGTTAAAACACTGAAACTATTATATTGCTTTTATACTGCAATATTCTAAAATAAGAGGAGACTAACTTAATAATACATTAATAAAGTGTAGTCAAATTTGTATTGAGCAAATTAACAGAAGAGATAAAATGAGTGATAGAAGGCTCCTTACTCTGTAGGAGTTTACATGAATAAAGAAATGTGCAGACCTTGTTAAGGGAATGTACCAAGTGTCTGAAAACAATGTCTGGGGAACTCAGAGAAAGAATCAATCAACATGACTGAGAAGATTAAAGTTGGCTTCATAGAGAATTGAAATCTGAGGGTCCTCAAGATGACTAGGAGCCATGCAGGTGAAAAGGGAGAACAGAAACATTCCAGGTAGAAGAACCCATAAAGAAAAGGCAGAGATATGTGGCAGTTCAGAACTAAGTGTGGGAGGAGGTAGTAGACCCCCCCCCCAATTAGGGAAAGGTGAAAAAGGACAAAGCTCTGGGTGCTAGTGTGATTTACAGGGACCGGTGTGTGGGAAGGGCAGGGGGTTGTGCACAGAGACTCCGTGGGGTCATGTCTTTTAGAAAGTTGTGAGTATATAGGGTATTGTGTTTCCTAGTGTGAAGTGATACTGAGTAACTTCACTAACTGAATGTGGAAAGTTCAAGTTTTTACAGATACTGGTTCCCTGTAATGCTTAATAAAATCATTCCTGACATATCAGATATAGGGTCTCAAAAAAGGAAAAAAAAACTTCAATATTTTCTTATTTTTAACCTAACACATGTTAATTTCAAAGTAAGCACACTACACAACTGAATTTCAAAAGGTGGCAAAATGAATTTCAGTCCTACCACCAGAGGAAAACACCAATTGTATGATATTTTTCAAATTGGATTTAATTCTACTACATTGAACTACACATTAAATAAGACTGATGATGGATAGAGTAATGCAGACAACCAGGACCAAGCTTATTTTAAGCAAACTCGTGCATAATTTCTGCCTCACTTGGCAGAGTGAAACTTGACAAAGAAGTCATTTATTGCTCTAGTATAATAATGTACATAAATGTAATATATAAACATATATTAAAATATTACTTATTTTTTAAAATGTGCTAAACACTGTGAAAACATAAAAGTTGGAAATAGTTTCATATTTTGTAACATACATTTATTTAGCAATTAATTTCTGTCTTTCAAACAAAAACAAAAAGAGCAAGTAAGTAAAAATGAAGAATCTCTTTAATCTTTAATTCCCATCAAGTGGAAACTTAAGTACTGACGTATGCTAAACTTTTATCCATTAGTTCAGCAGCTCTTTAAGAAATACCAATAATAAGGCTAGTTACAGTTCTGTCAGTGAACAAAATCCAGGTATGGTGTCTGCATACATGGAGCTTACAATCTTAAACAAGATATTCTTTCTACTATCTTAAACAGAAATCTCATCTATTTTCAAGTCAGCCCTCATTCCCATATTTCCACAAAGTACTACTGCACTGTTCTGACCCCTGCAAGTTTATCCCTTCTCTGATCTCTAGTAAATGTATAAAGGTTCTTTCTCCTCAAAAAAATTTTTAAAAAATTCCTTGAAGATGAATACAAATGCTATATTATTTGGGGTAGACGGTAAATTTTTCTAAATAATTGGTAATATTGGGGAAAGCATTTCCAGAATTCCTGATAAAGCATTTGAAGTTGGCTGAAAAACATATTTTCTGGAAGCTTTGCCAATGGCCATATGGAAAGAGATGTCATCAAAACCTTCTTTCAGCATTACCATAAGAGTAAGGACACTGGTGCAAATTAAAGAAAGCTAGTGAGATTTTTTTTCTTTTCATACTAGGGATTGAACCCAGGGGTGCTTTACCACTGAGCTACATTCCCAGCCCTTTCATTGTTTGATTTTGAGACAGACTCTTGCTAAGATAGTTTGAGACTGACCTTGAACTTGTGATCCTCCTCCTTCAGTCTCCCTAGTACAGGGGACAATAATGTATAATGGGATTATAGGTGTGTGCCCAGTTACCACACCTGGCTTCTGATGAGAATTTTCTGATGAAATCTCACAAAGCAGTTTTCAATTCACTTGTTATTTTAAATGTAAATTATTCATTATTTCCAAGAGATGTTATATAATTTAAATGGTCCTACACGACCAAAACAATCAATTTTCTAGTCTGAACAATAGTTCAATTAAGGCTTGGTTACGCATAAAGTTTGCAAAGGGAAGAATAAAACTGATTGCTTCATTTTTCTATTACTACATTTTCAACTGATTTAAAGTTGTGACAAATTAGACTGCAGACTATTACAATAGGGAAGTCATTTTGTAAATTCAATCTGTATTTTGGCATTCGGAAAGAAGTTTGCTGTTATTATTTGCAGGTTTCTTTAGAGCACTTTAAAGGCAATTATGTGATTTATAAAACATGCTTAGAATAGGCATCTTGATAAAGTACAGCACATTATCCAAATTAAGTATATTGCTTAAGGAAACCAAGCTACAGAAAGTTTCTGTAAAAAGTTGAGGATTTATACTGATAGAATGAGAACATGTTTGTCTTTTATTGTAAACTTCAAAACCTGGAATCATTGTGTTCATGGTTATTTGACCACTCTTAAGACCTTCTATAGTTCTAATCACTTTATCAATCTGCAGACTTATTTAAGATAAAATATTCAGAATAGGAAAGCAGTCAAGGACAAAACATTTATGCCATGTCTCAGGGTATAGGAAAGGGCATAGTGTTAGAAACTGACAGAAAACAGCAATGAAGGAAATGGAGGATTCCAGTGAAAAAGTTCTTACTCTATATGATGTAAAATCTGTTAATCAAATGGTATTAAATTAGTTATTTTCATTTTCTGTTTTATAATATTTGCTTTACTTTTATTTGAAAAAAAAGATGTACTAAAATTTAAGAAGTAAAAAGACTTCCCAAATCTGTCCAGGAAGAGCACATTCCATGGTCACTGCATCATCCATCTCTGACCTTCACAAATCTTTCCACCAGTGGACTAGCCACATGTGTCATAGGCCAATAGGACAAAATATTTATAAAAAATTTTGTAGAACTTAGTTGCAAATTCTAATTCTAAAGTCAGTTATAAACGAAGAAATAAAGGTAACATACTAACATACACATTGAAGAAAATGTTTTCTTTATCCTGTTCTGCATATGCAAATTTGCCACCATAATAGATAATAAAACCTAAATTGCTACAGGCAAGACACAGGCCTGTCTTCCAAAGAGGCATGAAGTTAATAATCATTTGAAAAGATCAAAGGAGCTCCTAACATCCACAGGCACAGAGGCTCCTCCTTAATGACATTTTCAACTCTCATTTTCAGGTGTTTAAAACTCTCTCTGCTAACCACAAAACAAAAGCAATCAACTCCATTTCTTGAAGACAGAAGCCATGTTCTTTTTCTTTTCTTTTCTTTTCTTTTTTTTTTTTTTTGTACAAGGTCTAGTCCACAGTAGTACAGAATGTGCTTAGTATGTTTTACTAGCCAGAAAGCAATCTATAAATGAATTTTCTAAGAAATAAATCATACAAGAGGTAATATCCCAGTTGTCTTGTTGAGCCTCATTCTGAACACATAAACAGATGTTTAAATAAATGAAAGAGCAGGGTACAGATAATCCAATTTCAGATATCTTATCAATTTTTAGTTGGCTAATCCAACTGATGACAATGCCATCTTACCAAGTCTCAGTTTTTGCAGTGATTTATTCCAAACAAAGAACAGTATAGCAGAAAAATGGGGGAAGGGGACATCTAAACCGTAGTAGTGTTCATGAGAACTAAATTAATGCCACAGGAGAGAATATGGTCTACTTGTATAAATGAAATATCTCTCCCGTGCTTCATAAATCTAAATTGCCTTTATAGTATCTATTAGTGACCAAAAATGCATATTAGATAAAAATATAAATGAAATAAAGCTGATGTTGGTTGATATTTATTTAAATTCAAGTTTTTATATGAGCCTAACTGCCTGATGTTTTCCTGATATTTTCTTGGCCAATTGCCTAATCCTGTCATTGAGGGTCTCATGTTCTTTGGACATTAATTATGAAGTTTTCCCTATAGTTAGCTTTAAAACTTGTTGATGGTGACTATGGTTAATACAGGCGATCAGTAATGTGGATTCACTTTCACACAGAGACATACCAGAACATTGTAAGTTTGGGTTCTGACTGACCTTCAGGTTGATATTGTGCTATAATGGTCACCGTCTGTCCAGCTCCCTTTAATGCAGCAGCTGCCTGTTCATGAGATGCTCCACGGAGGTCAATGCCATTCACCTGAAAGAGGAAATCAGAGAATTTTAAGCATAGAATCTGTATTAAGATAGAAGAAAGGAGTATCCCAAAACTAATAAGCTACTTAAGACTATCATGTGCCTCAAAGCCCCTCATCGTCTACTCAAGTATTTCTTACCTCTACGAATTCCAGTTTTAATAATTTTAAACAGCAGCAATATAAAAATATTCATTTTGTGTTCGTTTCATGATCTGACTGGGATGGAAGCATTTTTATCCATTCATGTCTATGAGGATTTTACTGGGTATATTTACTATGACCCTGTAAGTTTCCTAGATTTTGAGGATAAATAAGAACCTTCAAAATTAGAGGAAAATAGGATAATGAAGAGAGACACATGTAATGCACATCGACAAGTACATGCTGACAGATTAATATATTCAGATGAGGTTCTGGGGAGACTGCATGGAATGAGGCTGGCTGCCAGCCAAACCCCTCTCTGGTCAA